AGGGATGTAGCTCAGTGTAAAGGCTTGAGGTTTGATGCCCAGTACTGGGGAAAAAAAATACCCACAAACAGAAAACTGCCACCATCTCCTCTCTAGCTCCACATATCAAGCTGATGAGAGAGGGAATGAAATTTGCCACCAATTGATGTCTAGTGATGTGTGTCGTGCCTGTACTGCACAGGAGTTACCTTGATGAGGGTGATTCCCAGTGCTTTCTTGGGCACCCTGCCAGTGAGCTCATCGCAGATCCGGTGAATGAACTGGTGTGGGATGACGAACACCAGCAGGTCTGCATCCTGTACAGCCTCACTGAGGTTAGAGATGGCAACCTGCAACCATGGGAGAAAAAGAGTTATTCCTCTGTCAGTGTGGAATTATTTCATACCCTCAGGCCTTATTAGATGAGGAGGACGGCTGTCATGGACTGCCCCACCCCATCCCCTCCTCTCTAGGAAAAACACCTCTAAGTTTCTTTTCAAAAGCTATCACACTCAACGTCAAAATTTGAGTCTCATTCTGGGGATGGCACTTAACTTGTTCAAACCAATGGGCTCATCAAACAAAGAGAGCTATCATGAAGAAACCAGCAGATGCTTGCTGGGGCTTCTGGGTTACACATGTCTCCTTTCTCTTCTGTGGTGGCTCTGGATCTTTTCCTTGAACAGCGTGCGTGGAGTTGGGAGCTACTGCAACCTCTGCAAAAATGTTCAGGGAGAACCTACACCAAGAGGCTCCACATGGATAAAGCTAACTTTGTGGCAGGCAGAGGAAAAAGCAGGGACTTGTCAACATCATTTAAGCCAACACACCTGAAACCAGCCCTACCTGGATTTCTCCAAGGCAGGGAAAACCTGGTTTCTTCTTCAGCAGGCTTCTCTAGATTGGGGTGTAGGCTGGAAAGCCACTGTGGGGAGGGTTTGTTACCAATGTTGGGGCTGAGAATATAACACCCCCAAGTGAAGGCCTCAGAATCAGTCTCAGAAGCAAAGTTTTTCCCTGACCTCTCACCCCTCTTTTCCCTACCCCCACTTCCAGGGGAGCCAGAGAAATTAGAATTTCTCTTCCCCAAGGTAGGCAAGGCATGGAGGTACACATGCATAGTCCCAACTACTCAGGATGCTGTGGTGGGAGAATTTCTAGAGGCCAAGAATTCAAAGCCAGCCTGTGCAACTTAGGAGATTCATTTTAAAAAAACCCGAAAAAACAAAACAAAACAAACCCCCAGAAAACAAAACCTTTTTCTCAAGGGAAATTATGGACCTCAGAACACACTTTCCCCAAAGCCATCCATAAGTCCTAAATATGTTAGTCTAACTTTCCCCCACCTTTCTAAGATGCCCATAAATAAATTCCCAATCTACTTTGGAAGTATGTCTGTTATGGCTTGTATCTAGATGTCTCTCCACTGTCTCATGGGGTCATACATGAGGCTTTTTGGAGGTTCCTGGATTTAGGGTGTGTGAATGTGGATTAGGGGTATGACACTGGGATTAAGGGTGTGTGGTACTGGTTCACTCCACTGATTTGTTTAGCAAAGTTCTGGGTGTGGGTAATGGGAAATCCCACCCTGGGTGTGCGTGGCTTGTAGCCTGGATGGGATAAAAGGGAAAGGGAGGCTTGCTGCTTGCTACCTCCTACGTACCATGGCATGAACTATTTATCTTCTGTGATGCTTCTCTGCCATGCCACCCTGCCTTGGAGCCTAACTATGGACTGAAACCATAGAAGCCACAAACTGTGAACCAAAATAAACCTTTCTTCCTTTAACTGGGTATCAGGTATTTTATCTCAGCAACAAGTAACTAAAACAATATTGTAAGACTCCCAGAGAGAATCCTGTTCCATGACAGAAGGAAGAAATGCTGCGCAGAGAAGCTGGAAGATTCTGAGTAGCCAGGCCCCGCTGGGTTCCCACATCTCTGCTCATTGCCATTAGACCACATCCTTGGTGTCCAATCATATTCTTACATGCTGTCCACACCTCACTAAGCATGAAAATGGACAGTTTGCCTCACATCTTTGGGTCTTCATTCTGAAGGCTCCAAAATCATGTAGACTAAAGACCAAATAAATCTGTTACATTTTTCTCTTGTTAATTTGTTTGCTGTAATGGGTGTGTTGACCAAGACCCTTTGTGCTGGCATAAAAAGGATCACCTTCTTCCTGCCTGTCACAGTTGAGCTGGATTGTCCACTTAATTGGCTTCAGAGCTTGGGATGAGTAAAGTACACTCTGGGTGTGTCTGTGGGAGCGTGACCTTGGGACCACACTGTGTCTGGTTCCTGGCCCTTTCTACTTGGGCGCTGTTCCTGCTCTCTGCCTCCATTAAGTGAGCAGCTTTGCTTCACTTTGCCTTTCTGCCATGATGCTCCTTTCCTGGAGCCAGCCAAGGTTCATCCTGGAGTGAACCTCTGAAACTGTGAGCCAAATAATCTTTCCTCCTTTAAGTTGTAGGTGTCCCAGTGACAGGCAAGCCAACCAATACACTGCCCTACACCAATAGTATACTGCTTTTATTAGTCCTCTGGTACGTGGAGTTTCTATCCTGCCACAAAGCAGTTCCTTATTTGTTCCCATTAACCTCCCAGCCCAACCCATGATTGCCCTGCCTGCCTGGTCCTCACCGGCAAGGCTCACTGCACTCTCACTCTTGCCTGTGGTCCCTCTCATCCAGTGGCCTTTGTAAGGACTCTGATCCCTCATCTCCCCATGGGTTACTACCATTGCTTAGGTAAGAGGCTTGTGGTCCCTACTCTGATTCAGGAAGCTGGAACTTTAATTAAACAGCTGCTGGAACTTTAATTCCAGCTGGAATTAGCAGCTGGAACTTTAATTAAACCTATGTCTCTGTGCCTGCTGTTTCTTTTTTCCCAATTCACCCCCAACACACACACCCAGACACACACACAGCCCTCCCTTTCCTCCATTTCAGGGTATTTTCAACATGGTGAAATGGAAATAACACCAGAATCAGAAAGAAAAGATGTAGGTGTGAAGGTGTGAGTCCACACCTGCAACTGAGCAGCTGTGACTTTTGCGTCACTTTTGCAAGTGACTTAGCTTCACTTACTTACCTCAGTCACTCTCTAAATAAAACGGGGATAAGAATTCGCTTTCCTACCTAGCCACTTCACAGAGCATTTCCCAAATAAGTCAAATAATGACAGTGTTTTGAAACCACAGAGACTTTAACAAATGAAGGAGATTATTCACCAGAAAAACTGACCTGCCTCCTATAAATCCTTAACATTGAAGACGTCAACCCATTCCCACACCCCTTGTTAAAAAACTTTCTCAAAGAAGCTGCTAGCTGGTCAGATTTCCTCCTGTCTCTTACATATCCCTCTTCAATAAATCAAAGAAAAACTTGCAGGTAGAATAACCTTCAAGGCAATGTGATTGTGGGCTCAACAGCATGTAAAGATGTCGCTTTATTCCCCTTGGTGGACTGCTCAGGGCCAAATGTACAGACGCAATTGTGTAATGCAATTTAAGCTCCATTTGTATGGTGCACGTAGTGCATTCACAGAACATTATTTCTCTTACATGGTATCAGAACAAGTTCTTTTCAGCTAACAAAGTAATCTGAATCTCATCTTTCAGAATAAGACTTGTTGCTAAGTCTGCACCCTACCTTTCTGCTCTGAAAATAATCAAAGCACTGCTTTGGAAATATAGACCAATTTTGCGAGCTTCTTACCTAAAAATTTTCTGAGGCTGTCCATCTCTAAAGATCAGGAAATATGTCAGGAAAGACAACATAGATCAACAGAGCTTGCCTTACAAGGGCACGCAGGACAGATAAATCAGGGCTGGTTGCTTAATGCTTAGACATTCAGGAGTTCAGTGCTCTGGATCCAAGTTAATTAAAACACAATAATGAATAAACATCATTAGAAACAAACTGATAAAATCTGTGGATAAGCCCGATGGTTCTTTTATGTCATCTGTAATAGTTACCACTGTGCAGTGTGTGTGCTTAATAAGCTTCTACCTCATCAGAGCAGGCAAGAGAAACCTCCCTCCCTATCCTAGCTGACTTACCTCCTGACCCTCCAAGATGCCATTTTATAGTATTTAAAGCCAAATGAAATTTAAAAGCCTTCTTCATTCATTTATAATTATAAATTAATGCACTGGATCAAATTTTTAAAAAAACCAAAAAATGCAGGTAGAAAAATAAATGCTCTTAATCCCAGAACTAGAAATAACCACTATAAATATATTGATACATTTTTGTCCAGGTTTTTCTGAGCCTGTAGAAATATCTAAAATTACATTTATAGAACTAAAGTCATACTTTATGTCCTTAAAAATATATAGTATTAAATGACTTTCCCCATTACTCAAATGAACACTTTCTCCACTCAAGTCCATGAACCTTACTGCATGCCTTTCCAAACCAATATCATAGTAATGAAAGACAACTAATGAGAATCCAAAGAAGAGATACAAATAGGGTCTCTTAGGATCTATGACTCTCCATGCTGACACAATTTTGGGAGCTAACAAGAGGGGCATGGTTTAAAAATGGTCTTACTGCCGTGGGCCAGGTGAGAAAGCTTAGCCTGGATCTTTCACCAGGCAGCTAACTGGACACAAGGATAAACTCCCCTACATCCTCCGGGGAATGAGTGTTTAGATTAAACAGAGTACTGTGAGTAAAACAAAGCAAAATAGTTCCTGAGAATTGTAGAGGCACAAAAGTATTTTAATTCCCTCCAGTACTCCTGACTTGCAGCCAGAATCATAGGTAAACTTCACATCATTGCCTCCACACATAGAAAAATGATCCTTAGACAATGACAACCTTATCTTGGGAATTTTTTTCCCCACCATGGGACACTGAATATAGAGCCTTTTGCATACAGCTACATCCTCAGGCTTTTTAATATTTTATTATGAGACAAAGTCTCCCTAAGTCACTTAAGATCCTCTTGCCTCAGGTTTCCAGAGTGCTGGGATTACAGGCATGCACCACCACCTCCAGCTTCTTATGATTCTTACAGGAACACATCACTCTCTGTAAGTGAGATTGCTTCTGGAAAACTAGCTGTTAACCACACTAGGTTCCCCAGTGTTATATAAAGTAATGGCAACTTATCATGTACTCCAATGATTCTCAAAGTGTAGGCCATGAACCAGCAGCACCACTACAGCTTGTAAAGCTGAGACAAATGCAGGTTCATGGGCTGGACACCCAGTAAATCAAAAGCTCCAGGAGTAGGCCCAGGAAGCCCTTATGCTATCCACAGGATTCTGATGAATGCTAAAATATGAAAAACACTAGTGAGGACCACTCCTCTAGTGAATATTTAAAAAGCTAAAC